ATATATAAGAACAGACTGTGGCATATAGATATATAGGGGCATACTCTGATAGAAAGATATCGATATATAAGATGAATGAGATAGGCAAACAAACTGACTGATAGGCATATGTTTTGATTATGAACTGAAAGGGCGATACTTTTTCCTTGCTCAATATTTGTGAAATACTTAGTTGCTTTTATTAAGAATTTTTACTTAATAATATTTTAAAGATCTATCCTAATCATCCATTCGTCTATTAGGATCAGTACATATTTCAACAGCTTACAAAGTTTCACGCTTTTATTAAAGTGATCGATTAAATTTTTATTTGAAGTATTATCGAGAAAAATTCATATTGATTTTGTAAATTTCAGTGTAAGAAGCGGGAGTTTATTGCGCAGATTCGTATCTTCACAGTATTTACATATAAACGTCTGAAATACTTCTTTGCATTTAACGTTCCGAAAATCTTTTATATATCGTATGCCTAACTATATCTCAACTCATTTTGATTGGCACTTTTAGTGATATGGGATTTCGTCGACCATTATGAATCAAGTCTCTTGTATTATGGGGCGTTTTTCTATCATCTTTTTTTTTCTACTGGAGAATAATAAAAACAGTGATGAAAAGTGCATGAAAACCATACCACGGGTGAGTGAATTTGGGTAGACGGAAACCTTGGCTGTGCTAGCACGCTGGCCAGAAGTCATCGTTCGAATTCTTGATCACGCTAGATAACAGAAACTGTAACTAAGGTCTGCTCATCACAGTTGCAGTATAAACTGCAGGTGGGCTCTGCAACGTGTGCCAAAGGGATTGGCTAGCCGCCGTAGAAGATGGGTATCCTCTAATATAAGTGGCCAGATATAGTATTACTACTCGTCTCAATATGAAACACTTGATCTTAGAAGACATGTAGAGCTAGATATATGTGTATGTGGATTCGTACGGGCGCCCTAGTTTGTTTGGTGACATGAGAGTAGGGTTATTTCGAGATGGAATAATCAGGGGTCTAAAGTGCAAGCATAAGCAGCTTGTTAGCAGCAGCTAACTGTTTTGACTTGTGCAGTCGGAGTTTTGAGGGAAAGAGAAAAATTATGCATTTAAGATGTCGAAACGATTTGGGCCGAAAAGAGAAAAACCATGGATGGTTTTCTTTCTCAAGCGGATTTACTGTAGACTATTCTTAAATTTTCTGTACTTCTTCAAGCAATCATATAGATAACGTATATAAAAATATTAATAATATTTCTTTTCTGTATAAATATACATATCTTCTTTTATATTTTATTATTATTATTTATTAGGTTCAATCATAAGTTATTTCCTTTTCGATGAATTGATTATAAAGATGAACGTATCGTCCTGATTCCTAATCATGTGTAGCATTTTACAGCAAATCTGGATGATATTAACATGCCTTAGTTCTTGCACGGCAGTGGCAGCGTACACAGTGGATTAAAGAAAATATCTTGTTCTCCCTGACAACATAACATCGTATAGAGCAAAAATAAATATTTTTAACTCGATTGATCTGTCCTACCTCCACCCAAAATATTCTCCTGATCTTGCGTTATTACCCTTTTTCGTTCACTGCAAAACGCTTGGTTGGGGAAAAATCTGTCCACTGAAAACCGGATTTATGAATTCATCGAAAACCTTTTGCAATCGAAACTTATAACATGCCTCCAATCGGGTGGTTGGTCAATAGAGCTGGACCATTGACGGATCAATGCATTGAGAATAAGAATAAAAGTGACAAGAAGTCTGGTAGCTGACAAATACCAATGATGGGACAAAAACAAAGAATATGGTAGGTATGGTTTTGAAAAGTAACTTGGTATAGTAAGAATGACGGGGTTTTCTTTAATTCATTTCCTTAGACATACAACATGAAATCACGTGCGATACCCTGCTCTCGTCAGTCGCAAGCCAGAGGAGGCAACACAGATTCGGTGGCTAAGGCGGTACTGCCACCCCTGGCACCACTAGCAGCTTTTGCCACCGGACAGGGTATTATTTTTTTTGTGCAGACGTGTCAGTCTCTGCGATTTTTTATGCAACTGCAAGTCGGATATTCAACGTTGTGTTAAAGGCGTTTGCTTTTGAGTAGGGCAATAGAAAACGCGCTCAGTGCGATCGTTATCAATGACGTGAAATGGAAGGTAAACAGCTGTGTTTCACGTCGTAATAGCATTGTGTTGCGAATATGGTTTTAATTATCTTTATTTTGGATTTTAACCAGATCCAACTTGATACCTGTTTAGATGTTGAGACGATGTAAAGCACGCTTCAGGCACCGGCTAGTAATGCCCAACTTCAAAAGGAAGAAAACAATTGACCATCCAAAGAATTCAGGGCATCCGACCACAGTAAGCAGCACGTGACATGTCCACCCGTTTTCCGCGCAGTCGGATCGCAGCGATTCGTAGTAGTTTCTTTTTTTTCGCACTTGCGCTTCCTTCCTGTTCTTCTTCAATGGAACCGTTAAGTCTACTAGGAAGACACACTTCTTTGAATCAGACAACACTACATTGTCAGGGCATGTGTCTGTCTGAATGATGTGTACCGGAAATTACAAAGGTATTCTAAGATCAACTAACACTCTACAATGACGGGATTCACTCAGTAGCTTCATGTTGGGAGTTATTTGGGTCTATCGCGTAGAGCGTTCACCTTCCTTGTGAAAACGGATCTTTTCTTCTCTGACCGTTACAGGTTGTCTATTGGTTGCTTCACACTGTGTACTAAGTCCATGACCACTTCCATCACTTTTTAATGACGCTAAGTGTACATCTGCAGTGATTGTGAGCATACAGAAGGTATGTGACTTAAATTGCTTCGGTCACTTTGACATAATGCGTATATATTGGTGTCAATGTAACCCCAGAACTCGAGTGTGGTCACATTTGGTAGAAGATCATAGGTAGATCGCAGGAGGAAGGATATTGCTTATAGCTCCATTGCAATTAAGATATTCCTTGACAGATTCATTGGATCAATATTACTCCATGTAGTCTATTGTTTGAACTGAAAAACAGCTGCTCTTCCTTGAAATTCCTTATTTTTTTCAATCTCATTCTTCTTTTTCTCTTTGGACCTTGCTGAGAGAAAAACTGTTTGCTTGTGCTGCCCAGGCCAAATCCGTTGGTTTGAGTCAACCCCATAATCTCTTTGGATTGCTGGCTGGATTGTGTTTCTTGTGTGGCTTCTACTGCCGACTATTTCGTGCCAGATTGATATCTGGTTGTAACCTACGGATGAATTGGTGGTTTTGACAACAATGTAGAAATGTATGTTATTTCTCAGCCTAGCATCAGGGTAATATAAACACTTTGTTTTAAAAATATATTTCCTTTACTATTTTAACCATTAATTCTGCATAGAAAAAAATTTCATCTCATAAAATTATGCGTCCATAGGTATTACATTTTTTCCTTCTCAAAAATTACACGCACAATCATACACTCAAGTATAAACACATACAGAGTATATTTATAGAATATAACACGAATGACTTCCATTGAGTGATAGTCCGTCGTGAGAGAAATCCATAACATATCTTAAAATATAGTCAGTAATTTAAAAATTTAATACAACAAATATTCATGTATCTTTCATTTGTGTAAAAAAATCTTCTTTATTGCTTCAAGTGGCGCATCTTTTTTTTTCAAGCATTGTATTTAAATATCGATATGTATTGTATGAAATGATTTTTTTTTCTTTTTGTTCAACTCTGGTAACATTTCTTCATCTTTTATGAAGCGAAGCCTTACGATATTAGACGCAGTTCATGAAGAGATATCACTCAGAATAATTGTGAACGTTTTAATATCCAAGTTTGAAAAATGAAATAACTATCAATGCAATGAAATTTCTGCAATAAAATTAATTGGCAGGCATTAATCATTTGCGCTCGGTCGAATACAGACACAGATATCAATTCCTCGATCAGCACAAAAAACACCCACAGACAAATACTAAATGCACACGGCGACACACCCATCAACTGTGCACACTCATTTGTACATATATATATATATATATATATATATATATATATATATATATATATATATATATATATATATATATATATGTGTGTGTGTGGTGATTATAGAGTTCCCCTGACACGTTCAATCTAATTTATAGTTTTTTGTTTTCTTTTGTTTGCTTTTAATTTTCACTGATTTCTGTAACTTCCCCATGCAACTTTCTCGTTTATTTTTTATTCTTTCTCTCCTGATAAATGAAATGGTTCTTTTTCGACACCGTCTGCTTTCACACCACTCTTTTGTTTTTTTGGCTTTCAATTTAAAAAAAAAAAAAATATTAACAGAAAAAATTTCCTACAAATATTTGCTTTTACATCCTTTAAAAATTGACCGCTGGGCAAGACGAGGAAGTGAGTTCTTCTTTTTCCTCTTCTTGTATAACCAATTAGATCATCATGAAACTTATATGATGACTTAATATCATTTCAAGAGCGGACAGATATTTTTCGAGTGCCAGTCTATCCACTCGGCTCGTTGCTATGCAAGAAAGAGAGTCGCAGTAGTTCAGTTTAAATGGGCAAAATGAACTAGCGTCATTATTGAAAAAAAAGAAAAAAAAAGAAAAGCGGACTAGAAATTGAAGGAGTGGTAGAAGAAAGGAGGAAGGAAAAATTGAGTGGAACGAAATAAAACAAAGAGAAAATCCGAAAGAAGATATAAAAGGAGGAAGAGAAAATAAGGATAAACAAACTGAGGGAAAGAAGTAAAAGATGGCGAAGAAACTGGAAAATAGAAGAGGAATAATAATAATAATAATAATAATACTATAAAGAAGTAGTGGAAATCAAATGAAAAAGTGAAGAAATAGAGAAACTAGATAATGAAAAGATAAAAAGAAAAAAGAAAGAAACAGAAAATAAACGGGAAGAAAGAAATAGAAATATTGATGAGAAAAACTAGAAAAAAATGATGGGAGAATAACATAAATACTAAAGAGAAGAACTGTTGAATCAGTAAGAATTAAAGAAGAAAAAGAGGAAGGAAGGAAGGAAGGAAGGAAGGAAGAAGAAGAAGAAGAAGAAGAAGAAATGTGATGATGATGAAGGGAGAGGATGAGAAGAGAGAAAAGGAAGAAGAAGAAGAAGAAGAAGAAGTAATGGGATGATGATGAAGGGAGAGGATGAGAAAAGAGAAAAGGAAGAAGAAGATGGAGGAGGAGTGAGAAGAAGAAGAAGAAGAAGAAGAAGAAGAAGAAGAAGAAGAAGAAGAAGAAGAAGGAAGAGGAGGAGGAGGATGGGGAAGAAAAGAAGGAGATGAGGATTTGGAAGAAGAAGAAGAAGAAGAAGAAGAAGAAGAGGAGAAGGAGGAGGAAACTTATGGCGGTTAGCAATTAAAAAAAACGTTATTACGAGAATAAGATTGAATTGAATAAAAGAGAAGACGAATTTTAGGAAGAGTTGAAAGAGAAAATTGAATTGTAAAAAAATAGATGGAATGTTTTTAAGAAGAAGATGAAACAAAAAGAGAGATAAACAGTAAAAAGTTTTAAAAAATATGAAGAAAAAGAAAATAAGATATCTGAAGAAGAAGGAAAAGAAGAAAGAGCGGGAAGAGAAGAGAAAACATGGGCAAATGAGTCAACAAAGAAGAAGCAATAAGTAAAGTTGTTGGAGAAAAACTGATAAACACAGATAACGAAGCATCTTAGAAAATGGAAGTAAGAAAGAATGCCATAAAATGCAAAAGCAAAAAGGAAAAGGAAAAAAAAAATGAAATAGAAAAGAAGAAGAAAATAATGAAAAAAAAAACAAATAAAAATATAAGTAAAAAAAAAAAGAACATTCGGGCGATAAAAGAAAGGAAAGTTGAAACAGTTCAACCAATCGGAGATTGCTATCATTAAGTTACTCCATATCGTTTTCAATCTGGTCATTAACTGTTTTGTCGGGTGAGGGGGCGGCGGCTTGTGCATTTGAAGATAAATTGACCTGATTTAGAAGATCTTTATACACACAAAAACTAACGGGCGGGGGGGGGGTGGTGGAGAAGACAAACTCTGTGCGATGCTTAGCAAACTAATCAGTTAAATCAACAATTCGCTACTTTAGTGAGTTCGATATTCGACAAATTTCTCACAGCTTTGATCTTGTGCCAGACAAACGATAGGAAGTAATCACCGCTTGATACAAAATCAAAACGAGATTCGGAGCAAATTCGTTTCAGCAACCAATTTCGCTAATATAGTGGCTTTGATCCGCACTGGGTGTCCAGCTACTGTAGCTATTGTGCTAAACTAAGTGAAGTAAAAGATGAAGAGATCCATGTTAAAATCCATATATGGTGCCAAAGACGGAACTGAATATTTGTGTGAGAAAAATAAATAAACAGTAAGCTGTCTAAAGATACGAGACTGGAATGAGATAATTACCCTTATCAAATTATGCGTTGTCGAACACAAGAGTCGAAAATTGAGATATTGTGTCATCATCAAATTCCATATGATAACAAAAAACCAACATTATGTGCTATCTATCTATCTATCTATCTATCTATGTTTGCTTTAATCAATTCACTCGAAGCAAGGAGATAATACCGCTGAGATGCAAGTGGCTAGTTCAAATGAAAGAAAATGAGGATTTTAGGATAGACCAGAAACCCAATCCTAGACAGGAAACAAGGGATAAACATCTACGCCTGTTTAAAAGACAAGCGAGGAGTTTGAACCAGGCGATATGAGAAACTATGTACTTCTTTTAAGAAGAGAGCAAACAAAAATAATACAATTTCAGAGATTAGACAGAGAAGTTAGAAGGTACCTAAAATCCATTACTAAATAGGTAACAAGGGATAAACGTTTACCCCGGTTCAAAAGTCCAGCGAGTTGTGCGCAAATATCTATCCTATTAAGGAGAAAAATAAAAAAATAGTAAATAAACTTTTAGAGTTTAAGTGGAGACGTTAGAAGTATAGAGTTGAAGTAGACTTTAGAATGAACCAGAAACCCAATCCTAGACAGGACACAAGTGATTAACCTCCACTCCTGTTTAAAAACCACGGGGTAGTGTAAACCTGATGATAGGTTAAGCTATCTATTTAATCATAATTTTATTCCTAATTTTGCCTTTCGGAAATTAAGCAAAGTATTAAGAAAAAAAAAACAAAGAACAGCGTGCTGAACTGCTATGTTATATCTTTTCTTATTTATGGCAGTGACTCTTGCAAATTTCCTCAATGTTTAAGAAAACATTCGAAGCAACACAAGTAGAGTTCTAAAGTCCGTTGTTCTGAATACTAAGAACGGAACGGTTTTGAAAGCAAATGAGGACTAACAAAACACTTCTACTCAAAATCACAACGACATAGTTGAACTTTCTTGGACGCATTATAAGGAACAAGTACTTGGAGAATTTAGCATACCATGGACATATTGAAAGAAAAAAAGGGAGTCAGGGCAAAAAACGTGTAACCTGTCTGATGAGTATGTGAAAATAGAAGGCAGACAAACAGAGATGGTAATACTTACTTGGAGTTAAAAGGGACAGGAAATTGTGGAGAGTCATGTTCGTCCACGTCCTAAAATTTCGACAGATAACAAGCACTGAAGTATCCTATATTTAGTTCGTGTGCCAGATTAAATTAAATCTCATAAATATCAACTCGTCTTAAACGCATTCGAATAATTGCCAAAATATCAATGAATGAACAACATGTTTTAACCATTATGCTCTCAGGAAATTGTTTAATGGACAAATCTTTAGTTGTTCCAAGACATAAATCCCGAATACCTCTCGCACAGTTTTGACTATTTCTCATATAGGAAAACAATGATTCTTTTGTGAGAAAAGATATGCAAATTGCTATGGGAGAATCTGAAATAGACCGCTTATTGCGTTTGCAGAGTCACTTCTCTAATGGATAGAGTTTGTTTCTCAATATTTACTTTTTCTTTATTAACCGTCTCCCCTCAGGACGTAGGCGATTATGGCTCTCCACAATCTCCTGTATGCTGTAGCTTTTCATAAATTTTCTTTTTGTTATTTCTCCTAAAACCTGTTCCGCCGTCAATTTACTCAAGCTCACTATGTATCTTTTCGCTTTCCTTTACTAACTTCTGTAGGTGTTTTTGTAGTTTTCTTCCCTTCACTAATAAAATCCCCATCTTAGCTTCCCTCTCTCTTTCTATGAATCTTCTTTCTTTTATTCGGCCTGTTGTTCTGTGTCGCAATTTTATTTATCGCTATTTCCTTTCTTCCTTTCCTACCTTCTTAACCACATTTTCAATCGACTTTCTCCCAATTAATTACCTCCTTTTTCTTTAGTTTATTTTTCTCGTTTTTTAGAAGAAACATTGAAGGAAATCTCTTTTATAAGTTACTTCGGTAGATGCTACTGATTAGGCGGGCTTTGTAAAAAAGGGTAGTAGGAAATGATATTGACCTGCGAATAAAAATCAAAATCGTAATAATTTGCACTAAAACAAATCTAGGACTCAAACACCTCGGCACCTCAAATACCTCAAAATCAACTGTTTAACTGATATTTAATAGAATATTCCGTATTTATTGAATAAAAAAATGTTTCTTTGTGTGCGTATTTTTAAGAAATTTCCATTCTAGATTTAGAAAACAAACGTTGCACACTACACATATAGCAAACGAACAAGACGAAGGTAAACATTGTTCAATCAATGATTATCTGTATATTGTCGCGTGGCTACAGTAGGATAACTTAAACATCACTTTATTCCATGTAGTGTGCAGTATTTTAGATTATTTGAAGATTTTTAGAATACTTTCGTTTCATGGAAGACTAAATCCATCGATGCAAAAGAACTGTATATATTTCCCGCCGTTCATGGTTTCGGACATTTGGCCGACGGACATTTAACCGAATGGGTATTTAACCGAAAATGTAGTGACGTACTTACATGTATGTCATACTCTTTATCATAATGTGCTGCATATATTTATATTTATTTATTGTATTAATTTATAATTTTTCGTTTTTTACGGGCTTTAAAAAAAATCTATTCTGTATATATTATATTTTAGTTCAAATATTACTGTAAGATGATAAGAACTTTGAGAAAAAGCACATTTTACTACATACCCATTCGGCCAAATGTCCGTCGGCCAAATACCCATTCGGCCAAATGTTCGTCGGCCAAATACCCATTCGGCCAAATGTTCGTCGGCCAAATACCCATTAGGCCAAATGTCCCGCCGGCCAAATGTCCATTCGGCCAAATGTCCGTCGGCCATAATGTCTGTCACGCCGTTGATAATTAAAACAACGTTTAATCTATGATCCTGAACGCTGATATTCAATTTATTGAAAAAGCCGCTTTAGTTTTCTTTCTTTCACCATTGCGTCATCCGAGATTGCGTCAGATTTTATATTGCCTCGACTGTCGATTAGTTGTCCTACGGCTATTGTCTGCAATGGACGTTACTCCAAGGAGGTGTACGAAAATTGTAACGCTGCACGAACACACTGGCAAACCCTACAGAGAGATCGCGGACTGTACGACGAAAGAGAAGGTCGTGATGGCCATTATAGAGAGTGTAGTACCATGACGCCCAAAACAATGAGGACTGCTTCAAATTAGTGGATTCGATATCAAAGAGCTTCTAAAAAAGAAAAGTAGACATATGAAGTACTAACATGAGTACTGGGTCATATTTCATAGAAAAATACGAAAAAATAACAGAATTATTAGTTTTCTTTCAACTAATTTGCACAAGAGTGTACAAACAATTTTGTGGATTCATATGATAATATGTTTTCATCATTATTTTTCACATGACTTGGTATTTCTACTTGTCTTAAATCGATTACAAAAGAGTGTCTACCAAACACATCCTTTGGACTAATATGCTAGTTTATATTCTTCGACTTTTAAAGATGCATAACTACTGAGTCTTTGTACCAAACTAAAGTAACAGTAATGTATGATGAAGTAGTCTTTATTAGTACGGGAAAAAGAAACGGCGAACTGGGATCGAATTTCAGCTGAGAGTCTGTTTATTTCGCGTTAACACCATTGGAAATGCAAAATCTACTTTCCCGCCATCTATTCCATACTGTCATATATAATGACAGTATTTTTCATTACCAGTAAGCCGCGCTGATCGACAAAGAAATTACGCACCCATTACTATTAAGGGCTTTCGGCTTTAATATTTTGGAGCCGCAGTTGTTGATGGCAAGGACTACAAAGTGAGTTTGATCCTCATATATCATCTTGTAATCGACTAAGCTAAAGTTAGTGAATACATTATCTGAGTCATGTGTCATTGAAAACATCTGTTTTAGTTTGATTATCGAAGTTAATCGAAGCCGACCTTGTTCATTATTTAGGACGGTGACTGTGTAGTAACATCATCTAGTGTAGCGATATTCGACTTCAGACCAAGTAAAAAAACAAACAAACAAATAACTCCACATTCTCGTACCTCAAAATTTCCTCAGTCATTTAGTCAAGTCCAAAAATAGATAAACTTATGGCGCGTAGATGAGTCTCATCCCAGATAAAATTTAGAGCTGAAACATTCAACAAGCATTTTTGAACCAATCGAGTACTATATTTTATCAACAATCAATCATCTCACAAGGACAGTCAAAAAGACTGTCCTTGTGAAATTATTAATGATAATAAATAGGGGGACTAAAAAATTTTTTCAGTAGGTCTACGGAACGAGAAACGATGACATCGTACCAGACATAAGATTCTTCACTTCAACACGTAGAATTCGCTTACGAGATACTTCTTTGGATTTAATCCTCTCAATTAATAATCAATCACTACAAGACAAAATGAGCCGAATTACAAGTAAAACATTTTTTAAAGTAGCGTTTATTAAAAATCGTAACTTTTCTTCTAGAACGAAAAATAACATTTTTTCTACCGATTATCAGTTACACTCATTTTTTCCTGACAAACATTTTACAAAATTCTAATATCTCAAAGAT